ATGTTTGTAAGGTAAAAGTTTAAATTCTTAGATTAAAAAAAGGTTAACCGAAGATGACTACTTAGAGTTTACCCAACAGATACTATGGAATACACTTTGTTTTAAATGATGTTGAACAGCATTGTTTCTTGTGGCTTAAAAGGTAGAAAAATAAACCTATAGATAGGTCAAGGATTGAGAAAGGCAGTCTAGAATTCTGTTTACATCTTAATTTATATTTATCTTTTGTCTTTATTGGGTTGTCGGAAAAGTCATGACTCATTTTTGCAATGAAAAACAGAAAAAATACATCATGACTTTTCCGACAGCCCAATATATGCAAAGTGGTCCAAAACTATATCCTAAAATTATTTAAATATTTTATAGCCACCGTATCCATTTGGGCGTCTGACCCTCTCAGTTTGAGGTAATCTATTGATAATACAGATGGCTTTTGAATTTGCAAATAATCATTCTGCTTTTCAAAAGATGAATCGCTGTATGATTAACAGGGTTCAGATGTCATCGTTTTAATGTGTATCAGTGCATGATATACAGTAAGAGAGCCCACTCATTCTTCATAGTCTTAATCATGCGGCCGTGTCATTGCTTTGCCTGTTAAAAAGAGAAGAAAATCAGTTGCATCATTTAGGGAGAGAAACATTTTTTGTTCTCATTTCCATATTTAGCCAATCCTGTTTCATTTTTCTGGGTTCTAACAAGAACTCACTATAAACACACACACACACTTACAAGGATGGGAACAAAGTGCTGGTTAGTTCATATCCTTCAATGATTACACCCAGACCTGCACCCGCCCCAGCTGCAGCTTCTGTCCTCTGCTCACCTGTCCCATCCTGCAGAAGCCCCTCATGCACTGTGGGTCATCCCTGTCAGTGCCACAAAGGCCAGGATGTAGAAGGTGTGTGGCGGGAGCGGTAGGGGGCATGAACTCAGATAAGGAGAAAACTACCCTGTCAGTCCCCAGATGTGGGTTGGAAAGTGGTAGAAAAAGCACATAGTGAGGATGCAGGGTGAGCATCAAGACACTGGTTGTTTATAGTTGAGGTGTTTGTTTTTCTAATGGAATTCCTTTTTGTGAGAATGTTACACTGTTAAATTGCTAATTTTGCAGTTGCCTAACTTGTTTTGTGATCGGTCTTTGTCTCTAGGGGACTCTACAGGAACCCATTCCCTGTACACCACATACAAAGACTACGAGCTCATGTTCCACGTGTCCACCATGCTGCCCCACATGCCCAGCAACAGACAGCAGGTAGGCAGGCCCCTGGCTCTCCCCTCCGCACGGCAGGCCACCGCTGGGCAGCCTGCGGGGGTGGTTCACGCTTGTAGGGTTTGCAAAGAACCGTTGGATATTTTCTCTTGAAAGGCATTGGTGATCTTTGACTCTTTTTTTTTTTAAAGATTTTTTATTGGGGTATTGGGGGGATGGGAACAGTGCTGGGGAATTGGGGGAAGGGGAACAGACAAGTTGCTGTTGTTTTTTTGTTCTTCAGTCTAGTTGTGGAGGACGTTGCTTCACTGGCCCAAGTTGGCGCCATCATTGTGCTCTTCCCGGGTGAGGCAGATCAGTTGCCGGCTTCTGGACGGCCGCTCACTGCGGCTGCTGGCCGCTCACGCTGGCTGCTGGCTACACACAGTAGCCCATGGCAACCCACTGCCACAGGGGCTGCAGCCTACGCCGTCACTGGCGACTGACGGCAGCCCGGCTCCAGGTCGAGCTGTTGTTCAGCATCTTAGCTGTGGAGGGCAGTGTCACTGGCCCTCATATGTGGGATCCGAACCGGGGCCCTCTGGCATCCCAAGCCAGTTCTTAACCATCGCGCCACTCGGCCGGTCCATGGTGATCTGTGACTCTTGAATCATTTGGAAGTATTTGGGCTTTAAAGGGAGTATTACTGCACACATTTCATTGCACTTTTTCCTTATAAAACTTAGAAACTCTTCCACATTCATTGTTATTGCTCAATAGGTAAAATCTCAGGGGAAACTAGTGTCAACTGTGTTAATTATAAAAAAGGCCAACTCTGCAACATGAACTTAGGTTTCTGCATGTGGATGGATAACTTAGTTACAGAGAATACTATAAGAAAGGACCTTAAATGCTTTCATGGTATGACTTAATTTTAGGGGTTTGATTCTATTTGGGTTAATTCAGCAGTTAAAACAAAGCTTGTTTTCATGCTCGGAAACTAGTTCTGATGTCACTTAACTGCTCCCCTTTGCCCTAAATATATTGAAGTGCCAAGGACCCCTTGCTCCTTAAGTATTTGTTGAATGAATGAAACTTAATTGTTGCATAGAATTTTTTTTTCTTAAATGCTTATAAAATTCAGTGGTGGCAGTCAAAGTATACATTTTCTCAAGAAGCGGCCCTTGCCTTGTCGCAGTCACTAGCAGTGGGAACCACCTGAGAGCCCATAGCGAGGCTGGGAAAGTGGACCCCTGTTTCCCAGCTGGCTCTTCACCTCAGGGCAGCTCCTGTCCCTTTTTTATTTTATTTTATTATTTTTTTAAGATTTTATTGGGGAATTGGGAGAGGGCAAAAGCATTGGGGAATCAGGGAAGAGGAACAGACAAGTTGCTGTCCTTTTGTTCTTCAGCCTAGTTGTGGAGGACGTCGCTTCAGTGGCCCAAGTTGGTATTATCATTGTGCTTTTCCTGGCTGAGGCAGTTGCTTGCCGGCCATTGGACGACCGCTCACAGCGGCTCACGGCAGCTCACGAAAGCTCACGCTGGCTGCCAGCCACTCACCGTAGCTTACAGGAGCCCACTGCAGCCCCACTGCAACCTATGCCGCTGCCAACGACTCAGGGCAGCCCAGCTCCAGGTTGAGCTTTTGTTCACTATCTTAGCTGTGGAGGGCACAGTGTCACTGGCCCTCATGTGGGATCTGAACTGGACCCCTGCTGCTCAGAGCTGGCATCTCAAGCCAACTCCTAACCAACGCGTCACTCGGCTGGCCTAGCTCCTGTCCCGTTTTTCTTCCATGGTGATTGCTGGGTAGATTTTCTTGCCATTTTCTATCTAATAATTAACCTCATCCATTATGCCCTCTGAGTGTTCTACAGTGTTTTCTAGTAATCAGAGTTCCTCCCACTCGCTGCAGAGCATGGATCTTTCGATCACATATCTGTATGTTGTTATGAGATGAACTTAGTTACCAGATCACATGTACTTATTTATATGTTTTAACTTAAAGGACTTATGGCTCTAAACAATTTAGTTTGAATACTGTCCAGTAGATTCACTAGATGGTAACGAGCTCACTGTGGACGCTGCGCTGGTCCCCAGATGCTCAGGAGTCGTGCAGTGTTGAACTCTGTGTGAGTTGTGCTTGGCCAGGGCTCACTCAGCCCTGGGCCACCTGTCAGCCCGTTTGCAGAGAGGAAGCCAGTGCCTCGGACCTCAGTGGTCAGTGTGTCAATTACAAGTCCTCCAGTCCCTACTTACCTGAGTCCTTGGACTCCAAACAGATCGGCCCGTCGTTTCTCACATGGCAGCCTCTGGAATTTTGAAGTCTGCTTGACTTGACTGCTACCAGAACCCAGACTGGCTTCCCCACACTCTTGTTGTTGCACAGTAATTAAAATGTGTGGGTTTATGAGTTTTCTGTATCTGTCTTTTTTTTTCACTGAAACTTGTCCTTGAAAAGTCCTATACACAAAAATGTGTATGGAGAATGGGGAATGGGGAGTGGGGAGGATGGGTGTTTTAAACTCCCCAAATGGGAGATTTAAAAAAAAAAAATCCCTGTACATTGAGATTAACGTTACAAACTCTGTAGCCTAAAGACTTATTTGGTTACCTTTTTTTTTTTTAACTCAGGTGAGAATCCATGACATAAAGTAAGTTATGCTGATGAAGTAGAGGTGGGAAGCTGTAGAAACTGTTTGGGTTGCTCTTTTCATTTCTCTTACTGTATGTGGAATGTATATGATCTTGTATGTGGTTCTCTGGGAAATCTATACATCAGTCCCTCCTCATCCACGGAACGCGTTCCAAAGACCCCCAGTGGATGCCTGAAAACCGTGGGTGGCACTAAGCCCTCTACAGACTATGATTTTTCTGTACCTGTACCTATGATAAAGTTTATATAATAAGTTCGGCCCAGGAAGAGATCAACAGTACATAATAAAATAGAACAGTTATTACAATGTACTGTAATAGAAGTTATGTGGACATGGTCTGTCTCTCTCAGAACCTTATTGTCCTGTCGGTACAGAGTGGAGACGCTGGACAAAGGGATGAGTCACGTCCCGGGTGGAAAGAATGGGACAGCGTGAGATTTCATCATGCTACTCAGAACAGGCACAATTAAAAGCTTATGAGTTGTTTATTCTGGACTTTTCCATTTAATATTTTCAGACCGTGGTTGATTGTGGGTAACTGAAACCACAGACAGCAAAACTGCAGGTATGGGGGCAGGGGAGAACTACTGTATATGAAGCACCCCAGGTGGGCAAGGTGTCCTAATATAGAGCAGATGCGTGAAGAGTGGGAGGCGAGTTAGTAGACTCTCGTCCTCAGTTTACTGCAGTCAGTCGCTTGCCCGTGGCCTTGGGTAGGGTTCTTTGTCTCTCAAGAAACTTGATAAGGGCTGGCCGAGTGGCTCATTGGTTAAGAGTTGGCTTGGGAACGCGAGCTCTGAGCAGCAGGGCCGCCGATTTGGATCCCACATGGGCCGGTGACTCTGCGCTGTACAACTAAGATGGTGAACAACAGCTCTACCTGGAGCTGGGCTGCCATGAGTCACCAGCAACTGCGTAGGCTGCAGTGGGACTGCAGTGGGCTGCCTGTGAGCTACCGTGAGTGGCTGGCAGCCAGTGTGAGCAGCCGGCAGCTGGCGTGAGCTGCCATGAGCCATTGTGAGTGGCCGTCCAATGGCTGGTGACCGATCTGCCTTAGCTGGGAAGAGCGCAATGATCACAATACCAACATGGGCCAGTGAAGCAACATCCTCCACCACTAGACTGAAGAACAAAAGGACAGTAACTTTTCTGTTCCTTCCCCGATTCCCCAAAACTTTTGCCCTCCCCCAATTCCCCAATAAAATCTTAAAAAAAAAAACAACTTGATAATTATATAATGGACCCATGTGGTTGTCCCCAGATACTGGACATGGTTGGGATGGCTGACCAGGGCTGCTCGGACTGCTGGGCTGAGAAGGACTCTAGGGTAGCACACAGGCTCAGAGGGAAAGAGTGCTGTGTTTCGGGGATATCTTCCATGGGTTTGGAAATGAGGGATGTGACACATGCATATATTTGGACTAGATGATGCAACATCGTTCTCTTAGTGTTAGGATTCTGTGGTTCTAGGTTCTTCCTTGAGGCTTCCTTCTTCTGGTTGAAATGCTTCTGCAGAAGGATGTAGCTGCTATAGCAATCCAGGAGCACTCGTCCGGGTTTGCATCCCAGCTGCTAGTGTTGTGACCTTGGGCAGAGTTTTCTGTGCTTTAGTTTTCCTTAACCCTGAAGACAGACTTACCTCTTTTCTGTGCTGAGGTGTCCCTGTGCACATAGAACAGTCCCCAAAACAGGGTAAGCAGCCTATAAACACGTGTTAATGAATTGTTATGCCTTCCTTGGATGGCAGGTAGAATTAGCTGAATTACTGCATGTAAAGCACTCAAAATAATGCCTAGCACAGTGTGCTCAGTGAATTTTAGTTGGTATTATTATTTTATAATTTATTAGATCTAAAGCATGAGTACTTTAGATGACCTAATTTGCCTTTCATTTTCTTGTTCCCAATCCTAAAAACCTAGTATGAAAAGCTAAGGCCTGAATTGTTAAGAAAGTAAGGGACTAATTTATCAATAATTTTAGAAAATTACTTTTACTTTGATGTTTAATATTTTGCTCATATGAGTTATCATTAGAATATTCTGTTTGTAGATAAATGATGCCACTGTGCAACCTTGGGGCATGTACTTTCCAGACTTGTCACAGGTTGTTCTGACTCCTCCCACATCTCTCACTCACCCCACCCCGGGCCCACCTGTGACGTTAATGCTGAGGGCATAGATGGATGTCTGAAATGACCAGTTAGGTTCCTGACTGCATTGTGAGTCCATGGGACGCCACACGTGAATGGTGCCTGTTCTTTGGCCTCATGAGCACCACGGTATTTGGATTATTTAACGGGTCCAGACTCATCCACATCAGATACAATTTCTTGTGTTTGTTCTTGTAATAAATCAAGCTGAAAGCTGATTCCAAGATGTATTAAAGCCCTGTAGAAAGTTCACCA